GCAGTTTGTGAGCAGGTAGCATTGGCAGTATTAAATGTCGATATTTAAGCAATATCATAAGCAAACATATACATACATACATATACATATATAAATGTTTATGTACAAACATACCAATATTTATAGTAACAATAACCTCAAAAAAGTTCGTGCAACAACAAACACATTGCAGCATCGCATTATATGGCCAAGTGGATTCACATATGTACACATCCAGAGCTACATACACAGTTCCACACATACAAATGTAAGCTGAGAACGTGTCTTTATCTGACTTTAACGTCTGCAGCGTGCTTGGAGTTTTGGCAGCAGAGTGACGCGCGATATGCGGCGGAAGTGCACATCAACAATGCGGCTGCCAATATTCGATAAACGCAGAAATGGTCAGAAAGTAATAACAGCCGTAATAGGCCTCACTTATGGGTAGTGTCTGACCAAATATTTGGTTTTATTGGAAAATGTAGGAGGACGGTTATGCGTTTAATAGAAAATTAGCAATTCTTTTGGAATTTTTTCTTTGTAATGACAAATGTCATGACAAAACAAACTCTTTTTTTTATAAAATGGCGGCTATTCAAAAATTTACGTATACTTTAACAAAAATACTTACAAAAAATTTTTTTTCATCTAGCAAAATTTGTTCAGGAATTTTTAAAAAATATTACAAATTTTACATTTTCAGTTTGGGTCGGCTTATACGATAAAGAGATGTTTATAAAATAGTAGAACTTGTAATGTCAATTTTCAAGTATATCTTCCGATTACAACTTGAGATATCGTTAATATTAAAACAATAAAAGTAGAAAATAAATATTTTAAATAAAATAAAATACAGTGTGTTTGGAACCTAAGAAAGTAAATTTATACCAAATTTCATGAAAAAAGAATTTTTTTACAAGATAAGAATTAAAAACCCAAAAACTTTAGTTATGTGAATTTTTCACATAAATTTTGTGGTTATGCGAAAAAGGTGTTAATACCAAAATTGTAGATCTTTTCATTACCTACAATTTTTCAATATAAGTTTTTTCTATAGAATTCGCAGTTTTGTCGGAAATCGATATAAACCGTTTTAACCCTTAAAAATGCAACCACACCCCTCCACTACCTCTTCTTGACCTCAGTTTGCCTTCATCTTCCCTTTCCAATGTATTTTAACATACTATAAATTAGTTCACTATTTACAATTTTCAAAAACTTCTGCACTGACCTATTATTTGAAATGTTGCGCTGTCGTCTAATATTCCAAGAATTTTATTTACCAAATAATTACCTAATACTTGGTAAAACCATTTTGAAAGGACTTCAAATAATTCAGAATTCCAGTATCGACCGAGTTTATAATTACTAATACACTTTGTTGCGGTTATGCGGTTAATAATTACTTTTACTAAAGCGGAGAGAATTGCAATCGATTTCTACAAATATGCGAGCTAACGCCATTTTATTGCAAACCCGACGGAAAAACTTTAATTATTGCTTGTTTGGTCTCAGCGACCCTGTCATAATAGCTCTCGCACACTTATTTAAACATGTACAACGGTAGGTTTCATATATTTTGCTACTCAAATTCGCTGCTACGGAAGACTATAACATTTAATCGCCTATCTTCCATAGTGCGCCATTAACTCCGCCGACAAAATTCTTGAAATGGCCACCATTCACTCCATCTCCTTTTGCGCTTATTCAACCTTTTTTAGCTTACCATCTACGTGTGTGTAAAAGTACAGTGATGGCAAAATTTTCGTTTTCTTTATTTATTTATTTTATTTTATTTCATTTATTTATTTTACATATTTTAATAGATATTTATTTGTCGGAACGGCCTATATCGGACCACTATAACATATAGCTGCCATATATAATGAACTGTCGAAATCATGTCCTTGTATGGAAAACTTTTTTATATGACAAAATATCTTCACGACATTCGACATAGAATATTATACAAAACAACTCTATAAGCTTCGCAGAAATTGTTCAGATCGAAGCACTATAGCTTATACCTGCCATACAAACTGACCCATCAAAAACAAGTTCTTGTATGGAAACTTTTTATTTGTGAAGGGTTTTCCAGCTTTGTTTCAACCGAAGTTAACGTTTTTCTTGTTTTTTAATGTTACTATTATTATTATTTTTTTTTGTAATTAATCAACTTTGAAATTAGTTTAATTTTTTTTGTATTGCATTGTATATTTTACAAATATTAATTTTTGTTATATTTTTCACTCTAAAATTAGTTCAATACACTTTTTAAGTGCATACAGATGTACATGCATATATTATATAAAAATATTTTTTAATACATACATATATACCTTCACACACAACACTCTAAGTTTCCTACATTAATTAGACCCCTTATCCATCCATTATCCGATGTTTTCCAAGTATATATTTTTTCTTTACTTACTTAAGCATACTTATGTTATAACTTCACAAATTTCCTGCATACCAATCAAACTCTTATCATTAATTATGTATTTACTTAGTTTGCATGTGACATATTTATGTATTTTTTTCTAAATAAACGTTCCATTTCCTTCGATTTCTTGATTTGTATTGGTCATTTCTCTGTTGCCACAATCGCAAAGTTGCGACTTTGTGCGCTGCTCTGCATTCCACATTGTTTATTGACTCAGAACTTTACCGTCTCGCCATTACATGTCGTTTATCTACCTTCCTTTTCTTTAACCAACACATTTCTCAGCGACATTCGTTTCAAAATTAGTTGTTTGTTTGCATTAAAGTCGAGATTATATGTATGCATGTATACGAGTGTGTAGATATGTATATGTACCAAGCTTATGTGCGAGCATAGTGTAATATGCATGTATGTATGTATATACCAGTATGCCCCATTACATTTGTGAACCCCTTTCGCGTAGTTCTCTGAGGGACTAACATTTTGCTGTGTGTGCTTTGCTTTGTTTTTCGCTTTGATGGATATCAAGTTCTGGCGTTGTGTTTACTTGTTTTCACTACAATATTCGGTTTGTTTTTATTATTTTTTCTTCTTCAATCTTCTTTGTAATAGGTTTCGGTCTTCTGCTTTCGTTTCATATTCGTTTTGTTGTCGTTTTTATCGTTTATTTCTTTATAGTTCTTAAATTGCTATGCTCGGTTGCTCTGTTTTATATATAATATTACTGCATAAAACTGCATGGTTTTTTATACCCTCAATAGGTTATACCTTCACGAAATTTGGCATCGTTTATTATCACAGACAATGCTATAATATCCGAACAATTTGTTTAGATCAGACTTATATAGCGTGTAGCTGTCAAATATACAAACTGGCCGATCAAACTCCAGCAAACGATTTTTTATACCCTTTTAAGCTATAATAAATGCTCCTGTAAAGGGTATATAGCTTCGGTGCAGCCGAAGTTAATGTTTTTTTGTTGTTTAATGTTGTTTTCTTTTATTACTATTTATATGTTTGTACGTTATTATAAATCTTTGTGGCCAATGTTATCGTCATTGCTTTTAAGTCTGCGTGATGATCTTGAACATACTTCTCTGAAAAATGATCCAGGCGTTTTATAATCGCCGTTACGGGTAAATACATGTTTCTATGTGTGTTTATATGTTAGTATAATACATATCTATATATGCAAATGTATGGATATATGCTTGGCTTTCTTTAAGACTTGTGGCTTTTCGTAAAAAATACCCTAGCATACATATAAATAATAAAATAAATACTTATTTACAAATAAATAATGATTATATAGTTTGTATTCCTGAGTAATCTGCTCGATATCCTATCAAGTGGCCGCAGGGGACGTTGCATTTGTCAATATAAAGTTGTGTTATTGTGTATAGTACTTAACTTTGGTTCAATGTTACTACTTTAAATTTGTTGATTTTTTTTTTTCACCAAAAACCATTTTTATAGAGTATAATTACAAAAACATATATTTGACTCATTAGTAAAAACAAAAACAAAAACAATATTTGATAAAAAATTATTTAATGAAGAGAAGAAAAAATTAACTAATTAACCAAGCATTTCGATACTTAATATTTTTCACATTTTATATCGGTTGTACCAACACGCCAATATTTTTATCATAATATTAGCGTTCACCGTTGCTAATACCATAGAAAGTGGGTGAAGAATGTGAATTATTTAATTTATTCCTATCTTCAATACATAAATTACAATATTGTCTTGTACAACTCTTAATAAAAAACTGATTTTATAGTACCGTTCTCGCAAAGAAGCACTTGGTAATATTACAGCTCTCATATCTATAATATAAAGCAATAACATGAACTGTGTTTACAGCAGTGTTAGAAGCGTATAATTGTAGCCGGTATTTAATATTATTTTCTTACAATCTGTTTTCTTGTTCGCTTAGAACTGATATTACTGGTATTTTAGTTAAATAGTTAAAATGAATTTATACATATTTTTCTAAAGAAATATTTTTCATACCGATGTTCAATATTTGTGAAGTTTTATTATAAGAAAAAAAATGTTTATTATTGATTAGTTAGAATATGTTCGTTTGAAAGGTTTTATTCTCACAGTATTTATTATTATTATTAAATATATTTTTGATTTCTAAATTTTAATAATACTTAAAAGCTCGAAAGTTGTTGTTATTATTTTTATTATTATTATTATTATTATTGTTATTATTATTATTATTATTATTGTTATTATTATTATTATTATTATTATTATTATTATTATTATTATTAGTATTAATTTTGAATATTATTTATACTCTATTAATATTTTATTTTTATTTCCCATAAATCCGTAATTTACAAATAAACATTTTCGTTTACAACTCATATTAAATTGATTTAACTGGCAAAAATAAAATAAAATTATTTTATCTTATTTTGTTTTTTATACTATTTTTTGTTAGCTCATTTTATTTTACTTTAATTTATTTTATTTTATTTCATTTTATCTTTTTAATTTAATTTTATTTTATAATTTATTTTAAAAATATTATATAATTTTTATTTAATTTTCCCACATTTAGTAACTCATTTTTAATTTTTATTACTTTAGCTTTGCCTTGTACGCAAAATTAGCAACTTTTTTTTAAATAAATAAGTTTTTAAATACTTTGTATAGTTTACAATGCAAAAAAATATTTTAATTTAGCAAAAACCAAACATGTTTTTTAACCTATACACTTTTATGTTTATTGCTTGTTAGCATTACACTTGAAAATTCCTTTATTTTTGAAAAATTTTATGAAATATATTTTATTTATACGCACATATATTTATATGTATTTTTTTGTATGTATTGTTTGCCAGTTATTCTACGCAGCTTTCAAATCAGAAACACTTTTTGCTTTTCCTTGAGTTAATTTCACATCTTCTTTATTTCATTGCGTCATTAAAGTAACTTTTTTTTCGTCAGTCCCTTCATTTATTAACCTTTCTGTTTTCTTAGTTTTGTTATTATTAACGTACGTAATAAGTACGTACATTATTATTAAATTCGTTAAATTATTAATTTTTTTCTTTCAGAGTTATTGTATTTTATCACATTTAACAGAAAATTGAGCAAAGCTACCGAGAAACCACAAAATCTTATTTCGGCAACGCTAATCAGACGTTATCGGTCGTAGAGTGTGTTTTTGTAGTGCAATGTCTATGGTCATTGGGACCGTTTGACCGTTAAATAAGTGGGAGAAATACTGCTCCTGCATACACACACACAGGCATACATATATATGTACATATAAGCGGGTAAAGCTGGTAAGAATAATGAAAATAAATAAAGCAACAATAGCACGTGATACAAAATTATTTAGTGCTGCAATACACTTCAATTCCGGGTTTCTAATTGAATTTATAACAAAGAAAATTAATTCAAACATTCTGAATATTTTTAAAGTTTAACTTAAATTTGCAAAATTATAATATAAACATAATGTAAAGTTTGTTGCTTAGTTTACACAAAGTTTCGCACGCAAAACACACACTTGTAAAACGCACACAGACACACACTACACATAGTAAGTTTTCTGAATATTTGCATTAAATAAAACTTGGTCAGGAAAATATTTTGACGTTAAATTGTAACAAAAACGCTCGAGATATTATAATTTGTTGTTATTAGTGTAAATAGATTACTTATGTATATGTATGTATGCATTGAAACTTTATTTTGTCACCACGCACACGCTGGGACATGCGAACTTTTTGGTTTTCGCTTAGAAGTATTTAACTTTTTGACACTTTACCATTTCCACATCCTTCACAACACTTGCTCACACACACATATACATATGTATATATATAATACGTACAAATATAGGTAAATATATACTATATTTATTTAGTTACTCCGCCACTTATTGTTACACTATTTATACCTTTTTGTTTTGCTTGTCTCGACCTTACGATGTCACTTCATCAAATTTCATTTACTGCTATTCAATATGACGTTTCAAAGCAAACACACACAACTAATAAACTTTGCCGAACGGAAGCAACGTTTAAGCGAATTTCACACGCACTAATAACTTGTCGAAATAACGGTCACAATTGTACTGAAAAGAGTTGGACGCCAACAAGCACGCTAAAGCAAAGCAGTCAGTCTGTCAGCACACGAAGCGAAGTCAGAATCAACGGCGAATACGTCGAGTAAATTGCCACCAACAAATTGATCAGTTGACGGCAGCAAACAAGAAAATACGCTTTTTCAGCATGCTGTAAAGGCAAACAAAAACAATTTTAGCAACAACAACGTTGCAAGATGCACGCTCTATGGTATTTTCTTATTTGAGTGTGAGTATTTCTTATTGGTGTGAGCAAATACGGTAAAGGTGCTATGCTATTGCATTGTGTGTGTGTGTCTCTATAAATGTGTGCTCCCGCTCATGTGCCGCATATTCGCTGGAGAGCACAGCTCTCTTAATTGGGGAGCATGGGAGAGTAACTTCAGCTTGGTTTTTGTTGTTTGAGCGGCGTTGAGCGCAGTGGGGGCTGCGTGAATGCCGCCTGCGCATTGTTTCAAATGTTTTTTTTTTGTTTTGTTACAAAATTTCAATTTCTGCAAAAACAAAAACAAAAACAAACAAATGCGCCGTCATAATAAGGACACAAGCGCATAGTTCAAAACCAATAAAAATCATTGCACGCAAAGAATGAGATTTTCAGTTCAATACAAAAACAAATGTCCACACACATACATAAGTATGTATTTGCATTTTGAGATAAACTTACATGCCATGTTTCGAAAAGATAAAATTCTTGCTCAAGCCGCGCTGAGAACATTTAGCTGTGTAGGCCAGTCAAGCGTAAACGAGAAGCGTCAATTAAACAGAAAGCCGCCTAGACGTGTTTTGCTCAAAAACACTAACACACACAATGTTATGCTGAATTCACACATACAGTCATATTATTATATATATGTAAATTTTTGATAGCTGGCCGTCGAGGCGTCACCTACACATGTTTAAGCACACACACTAAAATGTGGAGCCAGACTTTAGTGAAGTTGGTAGTAGTCCTCAATTCGCCCTGCTCTCCATATCCATTGCTGCTTTAATTATGAATGTATGTATGCGTGTGATTTCCCTCGAACCACTTCCGCTCTACTTCATGTCACCAAGAAGACCAGTCGCAGCTACTTACAACACCGACTAACGAACTCATTATGAGTGTTGTACTGTGGGTTTTATTTACAATTCCATAAACTTGAAGTTAAAGTAAAATAATTTTAAATTAAAAAAATGTTACTTTCAAATTTTCGCAGTATAAAAAGTAGGCGACTTCAATAGAATTGTGTTGCGTGACAAATTTCCGTAATGGTCGCCGCACAAAATCTTGAAGGTTGAACTATCATTTCTAAGATCATTTGTTATATTTCTCGAACCTTTCAAGACAAATATAGTTATAAAGTTGCCACCTGTTTGAACATGTAAGGTCTCAAAATATGTATAAAACAAATACAATGCTAAAAAAGAAGGGGTTAATAAAATCTTTGAAGAAGTTTAGGAGGGCAAAATTTTGAAAGTATATTTATGGTTGCCACCTATTGTAATTATTTTATTCATTTAAATAGTTGAAAATATATTATTGAATAAAATATTTTTGAAACGGGTTGCCACATGTTCGAAAATATAATGGAAAATAATTTGTCATTACAATTGTCATTAGAATTTGTGTACGTACTGCTATTACATTAAAGGTTTTTGAGCAGTTATTGAAAGTATATTCGAAGACATATTTCGTAAAACAATCAATAAATTTCGTTGACAGAGGTATGCACATATGTACATATATAAAATATCTGGCATGTATATGAAATGGATCAAGGCTTTACGACCACGACTGTGTCAAAAGCATTATGAACCAAACTAAAGTAGTCGATTCATTTTTGGAGAATTTTCAAGCAGTTCTAAAGTATGTCTAGCTAAAAAGTTTAGTCTACGTTCTGAGTTTACTGATAATAAGTAAGAGTATTTTGCTAGTTTGTGAGATACCAGATTAGTGAGCAACGAGCATATAAATTACAAACTTTTCTATTACGATTAAATATCGATTCTTCGCTGTTTTCCAAGGAATTTCGACAATAACTTTTGTTTAAATTTTCCTTTACCATTGTATTGTTATTTCTGATTTAAGTATCTGTAATTCATTTGGAAGCTAGTTACATGAAGAGGGGTGACTTTTATATTTTGGGATCCCTTTAAGTCAAGTTCCGAGCTTTGTTTTCACTATATTTACATACTTAATTTTAAATCACACTGAGCAACTCCATATTATTCCATAGTATTTAAAACCATCATGACATTTTTTTATTTTTCATTTAACCGCTCATTGTTCTTTTCATGTCGCTGCTATTGTCTACCTTTAACATAGAAATGTATAAACACACGAATACACAAGTGGAGATTACATTTTCGATCCCCCAATCAACGCGCCTCCATATTAAATATGTACACATGTATGTACATATATTTTATAATTTTTTTTTTCTTCTTTCTGTTGTTGATTGTTTAATGCATAGCCATGCGGCGTTTGGCGGCATCGGACACACAGTGGTTGCGAATATTGAGAAACGAAACGAAAACGAAATAAACAAAACACACACAGCATTAAATGAGAGTATTCACACCGCCAACTGTGTAGAGCAAAACACCTCCACTGAGATTGCTCCATAAAATATAAAGTGACCCCAAAATTCTCACGTACTCAATTGGAGTTTTCAATGCTCCAATAATTTGGCTCTCCAACAAGGGTCTTGCTCTCTATCTTCTAGTTACTCACTTGCTTTACTTGCCTTCATTTAATGTGGCGTTGTGTGACTGAAACAGCTAAAATTTGCGAGAGAGCTCATATTCACCCTAACCAGCCATAGTGGCAAGTGAGATAACCACTTAGCATATGCTGAGCTTCAAACAATAGTCGTTTTTAGCTCGCATTTTCGCCCATGCATCATATTTCCGATTTATTTAAAATTGCAAATAGCAAAGCACGGACAAACAGGGATGTTAAATATATATATAGGGTGTGTAAATTATTAAAATGAAAGCTAATTTACCTTATTTTTCATATAATGGCTATAATAGAGTTAAGAGTTCTCATTAGAACCGATAAAATGTATAATTCATCTTACTCATTGGCGTAAACAAATACTTTGGCAAATGTACAAGATTTCTGATGCAAAGGTTTTTTATTTTAACTTCAAAACAAATTATAGTGTAAATGTAAATATTTTTAAGAATTTTCTACTATTTGGAAAGCATCTACGGTCATAAAAACCCAAAGTTACAAAGTCAGAATTGGTAATTAAATCGTATCAGTGGAACAAAGCACCTTTGTTTTAGCGGGTGTTCTAATTTAGAGGCCCAAAATTCGATATTTTTACTTTTAATTTTGGTTATTCATATTTCAAGAGTACACAAGATAAATTTAGAAAAAGAATACATCTTAACAAAATTATGAATACTTGAAGTAGAAGGTAAGAGAAAGGAGAAGTTCGTGCATCTTAAAATAAAACAATGACGGATTATTTATTAATAGAAATTTCTTTATCGTAAGAAGACGACAACAAAAAAAATTTAACTTTCTCGATTTTTTTAACATATTGAAATTAGAAATTTTAAGTTTTTGAGACAGGGAAATATTTAGAGAAAATGTTAAATTTCTAGTAAGTGGACTGATTAGAAGATATCGCAACGACCGCATACCAAAACCGGTCGAGCAGCGCTGCTAAAACAATTATTACTTCGAAAATAATTTGAGTTTCAAAGAATATGAAAATTCATTTTTTTTTCGAATTTCTAGGCTAAAATATAGGTGAGATTAATAGTATCAGATTTTCAAAAATTTTGCAAAATCATTAGAAATAAAATTTGCTCCTATTTTGATTACAAGAAAATATTATTCGCTTTAACTTCAATTTCATTAAAATACTTGAGTAAGAGTTTCTTTTAAATTAAATTAATCCAAAATAATGGTTGCAACTTTTCAAAAACTTGTTAATATATAAAATTTTTTAGAAAAAGTAAAGCCATTCTAGGTCCTTGCCACATCTGATTTCTGTGCTGCCAAAATTTTCTTAAATTTCTTCACACATTGAATTGATGTCAAGAGATTGGTCATAATACACTTCTCAAATTGTTCTTTATACGAAGGTCCAACTGTTATAGGAACTACTGTGAATGGGGCACAATGGGACTAATGAATGAAATGGCTTAATTCCGGTCACTTATAGTCAGGCGTTTTGTCGACCTTACTTCTTAACCAACCAATCATCTAAAGTGTCCCTCTCGTATGCTCTTTATCTGGCCTTCTACATCATAAAATTTTAGTTCAAGAAATTTTTAAAAAGTTAAACATGTGTTCCAATGTGAAAGAATTCCCCAATGGCAATCGTTAATCCTGGAATGTTCTTATCTTGCTGATTTGACATAGACAAGCATTCAAACCCATTTAGATTTGCTTAGGATAAATGCCTTTTGGGTTATCCGGTTTTGGGGAGGATTGAAGATGCAATTCATCAAGAATAACCAAATGAACGTCCAAAAATACTTAGTTAATCTTTAATAAATAGTTTAATTTAATTTATTGCTTTAATAATCGAATTTTTTAGCCAGAAAAGTCTATAACTGCGAATATATAATTTGGAGGAGTGTCAAACAGCCTGCCATGCTTGTAAAGAAGCACCTACCATACATACATATAGGTATAATGCTATTTTATTTCTCTATATAACAGCTTATTTCTTTTTCCATCACTTGGCGCCTCATTATTTTTTAAAGCCATTAAAAAACGCATTTGCTCGTAACGCACGAATCAGCAAAAAAAGAATGCCAATTGGCAGCAATCGGCCATCTAACAAAAGTATCAATAATACAATAAATTTGTCGGCCCAGAAAATGCAACCAAATTTCAATCATTGCCTTATACATAGCTACAAGGATTAGTGCGCAGTGCTTTTCAAGAGGCAAGTACATAAATAACCAAGTCTGGTGGCAGAGGTGGGCCGCCAACAATCCGCTGCAGGCTGAGGCAGTTAAGGTGAAATCGTGCACTTTA